CATGGAGTGCATACACTGAATTCGCTGTATGATCTGTATGCCTATCATGCAGACCGTCTTTACCCCAAAATCCCGGCCACAGATGCTAAACATTTGCTCGAGGTTGGGCCCCAGTAAATCCATCACGATCACATTGTAACCCCCCACCCGACCTGCAAAGTACACCTGAGGGAAGCCCACAGCCACCGCACATTCATTGAATTCGCTGTATATTCGGTACTCTAACATGGCACGGCTGTGCTTCCTTGGCGCCTCAATCTTGACAGCAACATGTATGCCACTATGGACGTGCACGCCCGTGTATACTTCACCAAAAGAGCCTCCGCCCAACCTTTCAATAAGGCGAAAACGCCCTCCAATCAAAGTTCCGTTAAGAATACTTTTGCCGTCCTCTTTTATCAGCGACACCTTCGACATAACCCGACGGGGACGCAGCGTTGCTCCCCTCCTCGTCTGTAAAAGAAAAAAAAAAAAGAAAAAAGAGGACACAAAGGAAAAAAAAAAAAAAAAACTAAAAAAAAATTTTCTTAAAAAGAAGAGTAGTAGCATGAGAAGGGAAGAAGAGTTTGAGGGCACACCCTGAAATGAATGACACACAAACGCCGTGGAGGAACACAGAGGGAGACTCTCTTTGGGGGCTTCTGCAGAAAAAGACTAAGTCCCCACGTACTGAAATAAGCAAACATATCACCAACATAAGCACGGCAATAATCGGGTAGTCAGAATCTCAACTATAAAAATAGAAGTAAAGCGGCACGCTTCCATTAAAATAGTAATAATAATGACAACGAAAGTGCACGCTGCATCAAGGCCATTCACAACTACTAGTTTTGGTCACTTGGGGCAGACAACCCGGTTGTTGCATCTGCTTTGATGGCTCGCAAGAGCTGACGCTCCAGCACAAAACGATTTACCTTGTACCGCTCCTTCTCCACGTGAGCAAAATCGTACGTCCAGCCAATATAGCGATCGCAGCAGGAACAAAAGACATCGCGCACAATGTGGGCACCCGTTATCAGTTCCTTCTCCTCCTGGGGACCAAAGTAGTAATTAAAGCAGCGGCTCACCAGATAGGCCTTTCCATGCTTGCCATGAAAGGTGCGGGAGATGACATCGCCGGTATCACAAAGATACGCACTGCATCGTCCACAGCCGTAACCGTCTTTTGCAGTAAAACGCACACGTAGGCGACGTGCCATCAAAGTGCGATCACCAATATTTAACCCTATTGATACACACCAAAAAAAAGACTATATGTATGTATATATATATATGCCTCAAAATAATAATAATAACAATAATAATGGGATGTAATTGATGGTTGCAAAACACGAAGCCAATATCATTCGCTCAAACCCAGCATAGATGGACAGGGTCATACATTACACACACAAAAGAAAAAAAAAAAAGGAGATAAAGAAAAAGGGACGCATCCAAACCTCACCCTCTTACAGGGCTATGCCATGGTGAATCACCCACACACAGAGAAAGATCACACAAAAAGTCGCGAAGAGAGCTTGGGAGAAACAAGCATACGCGATGGAATTGGCTCTCCATTGAGAAGTGTCGTTTTAAAATCAACGAAGATCTGCGTATACGTCGATTTGTGAGCCCTAGCTTCCAAAAAAGGGATATCTGGCACCTCGTGCATGACACGAACAGGAGTGCATTCCGGAAACGACAAAGAAATAATTGAATTGTTAACTTTTATAGCTCCTCGCACTAACCCATAAAATAGTAAAAGGAGGAACTCACCTGATTTTTCTGCTGCGAGCACAACCAAAGGTTCCATTGAATTTTCACTCAGAATGTCAACCACCCCAACTGTTACGTGACACGGAGACGTGACGGATCCATTTAAAATGGCGTTTATCGTTACAGCATCAGGAAATGAAGGCAACTTGGCCAGCAGTGATGCAAAAGGTCGTTTCCCAGTCTGGCGTGAAGTCGTTATCTGCGACTCGGCACGTCGGAGAACAGTGAGGTGATTTTCCAGCATTTGCCTCGTCCCCTTCAAGCGCTTTTGATCCACTTCATACGCAGCAAGGAAGTCACAGGCTGCATTACCAAAATGACCCAAAAGACCTTCAATAGCACCTTTGTTAAACCGTACATCGGGATCCTCTGGAGAAATCAGCGCTGCTTGTCGCATAGCCTGCAAAGCCCTTTGCGCCCCAGCAATCTCAACACCGTTTGAAAGGGCCTTTGAAAGTAACGCAATCGAATAACAGTGCCAACCATCTGTACTTGTGGGGCAGGCAGCTGCTGCTGCCTTAGCACATGCCACGGACTCATTTAAGTGTCGAAGACGTTCCGCCGGTGTCAGTTTGGAATCGCTGGAAAGACTCCTTAGAAGTCTACTGTATTGACACAAGGCGTCCATATTTTGAGCATCTATGCGCAGGGCATTATCCAGGGCATCACACGCTTCTCGAGTCGCCTTGCGGCGTGTAAGGCACTCGCTGAGGAGTACCCACAATTCGGGTCTGTCATGACAAAGCTTAAGCGCTGCACCGCAGCCCTGCTCTGCCTCCATGGAGTAAGTGGGCAAGAGCGTGAGCGCCTTACACCTCAAGAGGAGAAGCCGGACTTTCTTCTCGGGATCCCTCTCCTCATCTGGATTAGGCATGGACGCAATGAGGCTACCAACGCCTTCCCTCACTTTCTCGTCAAACACCTTGACCTTCTTGAGCTCGTCAAGTCTTCGCTCTAACTCCACAATTGTCGTGTCATCCATTCTCTTAATTCCTTCCTCCTTCCGTTCCCCCACAAAGAAAAACGCAACCTCACCAGAGATTAAACCCATACATATAAAAAAAAAAAAAAAGAAAAAAAATAAAAATAAAAAGTTAGTCGCTCCACCCCCTCCCCTCACACCCTCTCTTTTTTTATTTTGTTTTCTCCTCTCAACCATTGCTTTAATTTCAAGGTGTGGTTGTGTACGACAACAAGACGCCAATGTCATCATCAAACAAAACCATTTCCTTGCGGCAGCTGTTTGCCACACGCCCAAGACACATCAGGGCGTGGATCTTTAGCGACGACCTCCGCAAGGACCAACACAATGCCGTGCCGTGAGCATCGCCCGGAGAAACGGAAGGATACAGGTGATAGTGACAAGCATACGTGTCCTCAACAGCAGGGCCGCACAAAGCGGAACGAAAGAGCGGAATCGACGCAACACCGTCTGTTCCTACAACTCGCAACCGAAATAAACTTTGAGCCTCAGGGTCCACCATCGTCCTATCCTCCTCTCCCTCCTCATCCATACCCACCGTCGTCACACCACAGTCATCGTCCACATTCGAAACCCGCCGTCTCTTACGCCTCCTCCAAAGCCAAAACTTTTGTTCCCAACCCTCATCGCAGGCTAAATGGTCTGTCAAAACACGCAATGACCCTCCCATGAGAAATCTCTCCCCCTTCCTCGCACTGTACTGCCTGTGCGACAAGAAAAAAAAAAAAAACTCAAATGAATATTCATTGCACAAAAACTTAATTTGCACGTGTAAATTTGTAAATAACAGACAAAAAAAAAAAAAAAAAAGGAAACAATTAGAAAAAAATGACGACACCACACCACACGTGGTAAAAGACTGGTCCCTCGGCAAAGTTAATATCCCAGTTACTTACGATATACCTTATCCGTCTATTCCCTCTATGTTTCTTCATCGTATTCCTCGTAATTTTTTCGGGACAAAGACTGAGCAGTGTACATTGCAGCAATCTGCGTAGCAAAGGTTGCCTCATTGGCCTTTTTGTCCTCTCGCACACGCACAAAGCGCGGAAAACGAAGTGCGATCCCCTTCGATGGATCCACAATTCCGTATGCGGCAAAGTGAACTGGAGAGATAGAAAGATCTGCTGCCTTCACTTCCCATACATTTGAGGCCTCTAACCAGACATCCGGCTTTTCCTCAGCTCGATAATACCGTGGCTGCTCCTTGAGAACGAATGACTGAAGAGCTTGCGTGAGACTTTCCAGCTGCTCGTCCAAAAATCCACTACCAATCTTGCAGATACTTTGAAACTCGTCACTGTCACTATTGTAACAGGCAAGCAAGAATCCACCAAATACACCCGTCCGCTTTCCTTTACCATAGTAGGCACCAATGGGCACAAGATCGAGCGTATCCGTTACGCCATCCATGTAGTCCTTTTTAAGTTTTAGCCAGCAGTAAGAACGCTTCGCCGGGGTGTACGCCGCCTCTTCCTTTAATGTTTTAACCATAAGTCCTTCACAACCGTCCTTGATTGACCTGTCAAGAAACGACTGGATTTCCTCCACATCTGTGCCATCCAAATGTTCAGCGAACTGAAACGCTGCATGAATAGGGGTAAAATAAGAGTATAATACTTGGCGCCGTTCCAACAGCGGTTTTGTCATTTGTGGCGAGCCATTAAAATACAAAATATCAAAGGCAAACACACACACAGGAATTGTGACACTCTCAAAAGACACGTTTTTCCGTCCTCGATGCTGTAGAACCTGAAATGCCTGCAGAGCTCCCGTCTCTTTATTGACTGCCACCACTTCTGAATCTATAATAAAAGACTCCACCGCCTCCGTTGAAAAAACACGAGGAAGCATGGCGATAATATCTGGGTACTTTCCAGTGTGCGTTTCGGCATTGCGCGAGAAGATCTGATACCCCTTTTCCTTTGAATAGTGAATTTGAGCCCGTTCACCATCATATTTGTACTCCGACGTGAAAGCCTTACCCTGAAACCGCTCCAATATGGCATTTATCCCACTTGTGGGGTGCGCAAGTTGCGGCTTCACTGGAATACCCGGGCGAATAGAAAGTTCCGCTGCGTGGGCCCTCCCTTCCGGGGATGACGGAACAATCACATTAAACCCATGCTTCAGCATGGCCCCAACAACAATTTCAAAACTTGGAACCTCGTGGTATATACGTGCAAAATTGTCCGACCCAATATTTAGCTCTCGTTGTAGCTGTTCAGGTGTGAACTTCACAACCTCCGTTAGTCCGATATGATGCAATGCAAAGGCGTAACCAATTGCTGCGAGCGCAGAGGATTCAGCCAACCCAACACGCATTTTCTGTTGCAAGGCCCGTACGATAAGATTTACCTCCGGTCCAACCGCGTCACGAAGAAGTCTCTTCATCACATCGGCACGTCGTCGAGAGGCCTCCTTCCCGCTCATAAGAGCAATGTCACGCAACGCCTTAAACACGTCAGCTGCTGAAAGACGCTTGGGCTTAACGAGAGTGGATTGTTGACGTTTCTTGTCTTGAGCCACTTCCGCCAAATCACCTGTTTGTCTATATGCATCCTTGATGTAAGCCTCCGTGACACCACAGCACTCTGCAATGACCTTCACCAGCAATGCATCACCCACTCCAAGCTCAATGCCTTCGTGTGCAGGACCCTGCTTATTGATAACGAGGTAAATAACGGAGACCAGGTCCGATGGGCTACGCTGAATTACGGCAAGAAAAAGATTCGTAAGGCATTTAATACACTCTAGTCGGGAGCTCTCGGCACTGATATCGGCCAGCGTGTCGGCAACCGCGGCATACGGCACAATTTCCCTCACACCAGGAAGGGGACGAGGCCACACCGACTCATAGTTCACGTAAGGATCAAAAGAGGCTTTCAAAAACACCTTTGCCATGCTGGTCGGCCCGGCAAAAATATCCTCCAACGCCACATCGTCGACTATGCCCTTGCCGCAGTCGAAATCCTCTCGCGCCCTCTTAAGCCGCACCGAATTCCCTTCCTGAGCTTCAGCCCGCATCAAAACAGACCGTTTCGTGCCAAAAAATAAAAATAAAGTGTCAGCGCGCCCTACCAATAGGGACCTACATGGCACAGCAAACCCACGGGAAAGCCAAACAAAAAAAAAAGAAAAAAAGAAAAAGATCACTTAACGGATATATATATTTATAAAGTAGAAGCAACAACAGCCAATACCAAGGTGGAAGCGACAATCCCAAAAACCCTTTCTCGCTCCTTCCTTCCTTCCATCTCCTCCCCCTATTCATCCATCCGTTCCGAGAAGACCAGTGGCACGTCACACGCAAAAATCCACGGCCTGCAACTCAGATGTTGCGATGGTCATTATGTGCGGTGTGTGAAGAGCCACCAAATCCGACCCCTCACAACTGTGTATGCGTCCTGTTTAAAATATAAATAAGAAAGAGAGATAGTCATATCTTTAGATATATCATGGCCCCGTAATAGATGAAGAGGAGAAAAATTAAACATAAAAAAAAAAAAAGAAACAGGGATTGAAGCGCAATCTTTTTCTTCTATATAAAAATATATATTCCTTTTTTTTTTTTTTTTTTCTGGTCGAGAAAAAAAGAAAAAGGGCACTAAAGGCACACAATCGTAAATGCACAAATCAAAACAGGCGTTTTTCTCTATGATCATCCCTCCTCCATTCCCCCCTGCCAACCGTACCACCGCGTAAACGGTTAGGGGTGGGGGAAGCAAAAAATCAAATAAAAAGATGCCATTTTGCTCTTCTTTTCCTCTTCCTCCCCTCTCTCTTTTTACTTCTCAAATTTCTGTTTTGTCCCCACACTCCGATTGAGTTATTCTTTTTTTTTTTCCTTTTGTTGTTGTTTTTTTTTCTTTTTTTTTTTTTTTTTTTGCCTCCCTCACTTTCGTCAGTTTAAATTGCCTCCTCCCGTCGCCTGATTTACGTCTTTGTTACCGTTTCCTTTGATTAAATGAACAAGACAATTCTACATGCGCATACACACATGGAGATTGCGGGACACCACCCCCAGGCACGCGCAAAAAGTCTGTTTTCCTCGCGTCCCGTTCTTTTCCTGCCGCTTATCTTCACATTTCTCTCGGTCGCCCGCCATCTTTTCGGTTCCCGCGCAGACACAAAATACACACCACATGACTGTACATGTATGTATTTCTTTGTGTCTGTGTGTGTTTGTGCGTGAAGAAAGAGCCTACGCAAAGAAGGGAAATAAACGCCACACCAATTGCTTTCTCCCCAATAAATATGTATACGTATATAAATATATATATATATATTATATTTTATATATTAATGTAAACCCCTTTGCTCTCCCTTTTCCTTGTTGCCTTCGTGTCTCTCCCTCTGCTTGCCGGCTTCGCCCTGCAAGAAGCGCTGCCGCCGCCTTGATTCCCGCCCCCACAGTTTTCTTTCGTAGTAAACCACACATACTCACACTCACACAGAGCCCTCCCCCTCTCCTCTTCCCCAAGTCCAGTCCGAGAAAACAGAGAAAAAAAAAAAAAAAAGGAAAAAAAAAGGGGGGACCACATTGCTGCTGCTTCACAACATCTGACACGTTGCCTCTCGCTCTCTCTTCTTCGCCCCTCCCTTTCAGTTCGCATTTGTTTTTTTTTTATTTGTTTGTTTTTTGTATTAATATCCCCGTATTATCTTTTTTTTTGGTTTTCCTGCACCGCGCGCCTCCGCTCTCCTTTTTTTTTCTTGCCGGGAAATTCCTCCACTGTCCGCACATCACGAGGACGACCCAACCGCCCGCCTTCCCCCAAACAGTCGCCCCAACGAGTCACAACCGTGAAGAAAACTAAAAAGAAGGAAAAAAAAAAAAAAAAAATCATAAAATTAAAGCATGCAAGTAAAAAAAAAAAAAAAAAAAGAATTTTTTTAATTGCACACATCTTTCTTTCACCCATGCCCCCATTTATTTCGCCCATCCATTTCCTTCACTCTCCCTTGCCTCCAAACATCCGCTTGTACACAAACGCGCACACGTGCCCATCAATGGATCTTATATGTATATATATACATATATACATATACACGTACAAGCAGAAGTAGAAGGGGCAGAAGGGACACACACAAACAGTGCCAACAACAATAATAAAAATCTAGAAAAAGAGATGGAGGAAGTATGTGTGGTAATAATAGAAATTTTTAGTGGGAGAGGGAGGGAGAGAAAGAGGGGGGCTGTGTGCCGCATTTACACTTCATAAGCTCAGTAGTAGGTTTCCCTTACACCCGTGTTAATATCAAGATTCCTCTGCAACTCCTTCATCCGCTCGTTGGCCTTGTGTAGGCAACCCACATCAAGCGGAACGTCTTTGCATGCGATTGAGTTCAGAACGCACACCGCGAGCTCCCAGAAGTAAAACAATGTGGCAAGATCGTGCCGTAGATAGTTGCACTCCGGGAAGGCCGCTTCAATATCGCTCAGCGTACACTTCTCCTTCATCAGGACATACTCAATCAGCACGCCACCGCCAAATTCTACAGGCGTGGAAAAGGGTAAGGCTTGTTGAATAGCACATATTCTATGCAGTGGCACTAAAGTCCTTCCCTGATAAAAGATTATCGCCAGCATCGCTTCCAGAAGATGACGAATCGATCGAGATATCATGCGTGAAATCATGCTGAATGCGGCTAGTTCAGGATCAATTGGGCCACTCCAGGAAGATGAGACATTTAGTGGAATGATGGATAGAATGCGACTAGCGAGAACAATCTCGGGAGGAATATCCCGTGGTATTATTTCCTCCGAGGTCATTCGGAACTGTTCCGTTGTGATCGCGCCCGTGCGAGAAAGCTCGATAAGAAGAACAACATACTCGCTGAGTGTTGGTACGCCGCATAACTTTAGAGCCCGACCAAAAGGAGATGGCTCACTCACTTGAACATCCTCGCCGTCGTCACGGGTCTCATGAGTTAGGTAGCCAAGAAGGTCTAGGGATTGAAGCAGAACGGCTGCACAGGTCTCCTCCGCCGTTTCGTAAATAATATGCCGAGATGAAACTGCCAAGTGCGAAAATTCCATAACATCCACCAGAAAAAGATTTTCAGAAATGGTCTCACCTGCTAAATTCCAAGAATCAAGCCCAATCTCCGGAGGGGCGTGGACTTTACTCACACGAGAGAGAAAGGCGTTGTAGCGGCGAAACCATGTCATCCCAAAATCAGACATACGCAGAGATGCAGCGAGTTGATGGAGTGTTTGAACTCGAAGTGGTAAAACGGTTTCAGCCACATCACGGTACTTGATAGAATCCACAAGTGGCCAGTCATCCACCAAACTCCCCTGACACAATGCACCGAAAAGGCTGGGTGACAAAAGACCAGCTGTAAACATGTAGTACATAACAGGTGGAAGAGGACACCCCATGACCATCTTGGGATCAATCGGTAGTTGCCGACGCGATTCATATAGCCGAGTTAACAAAGTACAGTAAGGGGGAACCAGGGTTAGTACTGGGCACCCCAAAGCAGCGAGGTTACGAAGTACGGCGCTCTTCAGATTTAAAGTGCGGTTGCGAGCTTGTTCAGAGAGATGCATAGCCTCTTGATGGAGCTGATGCACATAAGAAGCACCGAGAGACAAATCATTGACACGTGTAATTTTTTTGCACATATCATCAAAGCTGGAAAACTTCGGTCCAACGGTCCTCATTACTCTGTTTCGGCTGTCAACCACAATCAGGCTTCCCAAATCATCCTCACTTATCCGCAGCAACTCTAAGAGACGGGATTTACGTACCATATCGACAGTCCCCTTCATCACATTTATGTTTGTGATGACCCGATCAATTCCTGGAAAAGCAAGAAGTTCCAGACAACCGTACACCTCCGATATATGGCGGTTTTTAGGGTGACAAAAGGCAGACAACTGAGCCCAAGCAAGGTAGGGCGCTCGCATGGTGTCCTTAAATTCAGATCGAAAAAGCTTCACAATTTGATTTTCTACATCCTCCTCTACAAAGAAACGCGACGATGACTTCTTTTGTATGTCCACCGCTCGCATCGAGTGCATATTACAGAGTCTGGAACTGTCAGTACCGTTAAGGGCGGCTACATCAGGAGGCACCATATTTTTTTCGCGACAATTATCATCAGATGGGTCCGGATAAAACGGAATGCCATTGAACACCAACACAGGAGTGCAATTTTTAAGAGACCGGAGTGTCTTGCAGACATCCGTGATTTTATCATATACCGTAAACGGGGTTGTATAGGTGTAGATGGCCATCTTTTCCTTCTCCCTCACGGCTTGGGTGATGAGGTCAATGATTTTCGTGCCATCAACACCCAGCATCACCTGGCCCGTACCCTCTAGTCGCCGCAGCTCGGTTAGTGGAACACCCTTCTCCTCCAGCTTGTTATCGTTGATGTAACGTTGCAAAAGACTCACATCGTCCTGGCGTGGGTACATTTTTCCGCGGGAGTGCCTCGAACCCTCCAAACAAACAAACAAAGAATCAAGAACAAAAAGAAGTAGAAAAAAAAAAAAAAAAAAAAAAGAAAAAAAACTAAAAAAAAAAAAAGAAGAAAAAGAAAGAAAAAGCAAAAAAAAAAAGAAAGAAAGAAACTTCCGTAAAACCCTTTCTGGCGTCAATATACGGGAAACCCAACAAAGCAACAACAAAAAAAAAAAAAAAAAAATATGATGAAGATGGTGAAGCACACAGAGAATAAGAAAAAGAGAGGAAGAAAGAAAACACAGTGCAATAGCAGTGAAAACAACTAAATAATAATAATAATAATAATAATAATAATAATAATAATAATAAAGGAAAAGAAGAAAAATATAGAAGAAAAAAAAAAAAAGATAAAGCAAAACAATAAACATTTGCAGAGTATCTGTATCCGTATTACCCCTTTTCATGAACTAACAGCATCTTCTTGCGTGATGAGCAAAAGCATTTCCCTGTAGAAGGGTTGATATAGCTCCCAATTGAAGGCAAGTACATGTTGCAGAAGAGCAGTCAGGCGACGGAGCGAGTCTGTCACGAGGCCCAAGGGTGCTGGGTCGCTTTGGCCGTGAGCAAGAATTCCCTCAATGAAGGAAAGAACTCGCTTCTCAAATACAACGTAAAGGCTTCCAGTTGTGTTTGTCATCTTTTCCACAATGCCATCCAGTTGTGTGACCTCGCTTTCCGTCAAGGCGGAGAGCGTCTGTCTTTGTGTCAACGCCTCGTTGACCAAACTCGTCACGGAGCACTTCAAGCTGGATAGAGTGAGTTGCTCCGAAAAGAGAAGCCGAAACTTGTCGTGCAATTGTTTCAAAATATCGCTGACAACTCTCGAATCAACCCCCTTGTCACGAAGTACCGTCGCAATACTGCCAGATAAAAGAAGCAGTAAGCTGTTCTCCTGCACCGTGTTGGCGGCAAAAAACACAACCTTCTTTTCAAAGTAAAAACATTCCGTCGGATAATCGTGCCACCGATCATTCACCTGAAGGCCGCCGCTTCGCATTATGTCCAAAAAACCGTACAGCAGGGCCCCTCGAAGTTTCCGTTCCGCCTCAGTCACCGCAGTCGCTGAAATAGCAACAGACGAATTCGCCCAAGCCTTCACACGCTCATCATTCAAGTAGCGTCGAATAAAAGTTAGTGAACTCTCCCACTGATCTACCTTTGGCAAACATTCGGTTATAAATTCCCGAATATAAGTAACGGCATTGCCGCGTAATTGTTGAGATATAAATAACAGTGAATATTGTGCAATGTCCTCATGCAGCTGACGTATAGAAGTAAACATGAGCCGGAATGCATTAGCCACCGCCGTACCGAGGTCTGGGGTGCATGTTTCAAGGTCTTTCCTCATATCTTCTGCGAGTTTAAGGGTCTCCTCCGCCTTGGCTGGGGCACCATATTCCGCAACCTTCCCCATCACGTAGCGCATAAGAGCCGCAATATTTCCTGGACTTCCCATTACAGAACGACGCACAATCCTCCAATCCAGCACATCCCTTATCTCCTGCTCTGCTCGGGAACGAACTCGTCGCGGAAGGGCGTTCAAAAGCCCCTCAATAATAAGTTTTAAAAACCGATGAACATTTTGAAGATCAGGAGGATTTTGATTGCATTGCTCCGCAAGAATCGCCAACTGTGCCTCGTTCATGGAGGAAACCAACTGCTCTTGTAACGGGTCACTCTTCTGTTCCGGCACGGTGATCACGGTTTCGTATGCCTTGACGGCACGAAATTCAAGACGAAGATACATCTCACGACGCCTGCGAATGGAATCTTCTTGTATTGGCCGGGAACGGCCGTGTTCGTCCACATACCAATCGGGTGGTATCTCTGGCCCCATAATAGTAGGTGGGGGCGCCTCCGTCTCAGAACCGCTCGTGTTTCCCTCAGAAAGCAATGTTGGTGCAGTGAGCTGTGGTTTTGAGGACTGAAATTTGACGTTCTTTTCCCTCTCTCCCTCCTCCTTTTCCTCTTTCCCCTTCTCTCCTTGAGTTTCTTCTTGCTCTTGCTGTTCTTCTCTCATGGTCGCCTCCATCTCTTCCAGACCCTCCCGTGGCATCAGACGCGACAGGCGGTCACGTAGCATACCAACAAATGCTTGAAGTTCTTCGCTGGAAGGAGTTTTTCGAAGTTCGCGCGCGGCTGCCACGTACGCCTCTTTCGTTCCATTCACGATGACTTCTTGACACGCGCGGCGATCAGCGCCCCTGAGAGAACGGAGATCTTCTGTAAATTTTTTGTTGTATTCCTGCCACGTGAGCGATGCGGAGGAGAGAAGGGCAGTGGCATATTCTTCATCCACATTCGTCTGCGCTCCATATACCTTTAACTGTTCCAGCAACTCCACCAACTGTTGGGCACACTCAGAAACAAGCCCGTCCACCTCGTTACTAGGCAATAGAGCGTAGTAGTAGGCAAGAAGAAGTGCTTGCGGGTTCATCGTGACACGGCGCAGACTACGAAGCCGTGACCTTCCATTCAAACTCGCTGATAAATTTGGCGGCCGCACAACAAGTTGTCCCGTTCTGGAGCCAATGAGGCGGAGAATTTCCTGCGCTACACGCACCATTCGTCGTCGGTGGGGCTTACCGGTGTCGGGACATGTTCGCAGCTCCGTCATGCCACATGTCTTACAGCACCATTTATCCGTGATAAGAATATGTTCCACCGTCTCTGCCGTCATTGGATGCGTGGAGTTGTACTGCAGACCCATTTCCTCAAGTTGCTTCAGATATTGGATATTTTTTGCAAACATACCGCCGCGGTGTCAACGGCCTCATGCGTGGAGGGTGCTGCTTCCAACATTTAAAATACACTAAAAAAGTAAATAAAACAAACAAACAAAAAAAAAAAACAAGACGTGAAGCCTCATAGAACAGAGCCCAAAAAAAAAAAAAAAAAAAAAAAGAACAACAAAAAAAGGGATTCATAAAAAAAAAAAAAAAAAAAAAAAACACGCCAAAATGAACTGCAACGAATAAACAAGAAAAAAAAAAAGAAGGAAAAAAAAGAAGAGATAAAATATTGTCAAACATTCTTGCCATAAAGCGGCTGGGCGTCCGTAGCGCCAAACTCCCTCACAACGTCCTCAAACACATGTGTGATAGTAAATAAATCTATGCAGGTGTAGTTTCAGGATTATATATTTACAGAGTGGGTAAGAAGAAGAAAAAAAATCATTCAAAAGCCCTGTTGCTTTTAATATTCCTTATTATTATCACTTTTCTCTTATATTTTTGTTGTTGTTTTTTCTTCAGGATCTGCAAGCAAAAAAAAAAAGGAAAAACACAAGAAAGGTGAGTGTGGGAAATGAACTGGGACACAATTTGCCCCACCCTCGTCTTCCCACACTTGATGCAACGCCCCGTCCCAACCGTTACGAGGACTTCATAGTAGCAAAGTACGTCAATTGAAATATTAATGAGCGCCGCATCCCCTACAACGGCATCATCGTTCCACTTAAACACCGGGCACGGCTGTTGGTATATTTATATTGCCTCGCTCTTTTTTTTTTTTTTTTTCTTCTTTTCTTCATGTTATTTTTTATTTGACCCATCACTGATGCTCTCAACTCCTCTGACTCACACGCTCTTTTTCCTCTCTTTTTTTTTTCCTTCTCCCCTCCACCCCTCCACACACAACTTTTTGTTTCTTCTTTTTTTTTTTTTTTTTGGTTTTGCTTCTTTTTTTTTTTTTCCTTTTCTGCTTATGATTCAATTGCGGAAAGAGAAGAAGGAGGAGAGAGAGAAAAAGTTTATCGCAAGAAGAATTCCTTCGCGCTGCAGCAACTGGGACTCAAGACCGCGCCAGCATGACACCCTCGTTCTCAAGCATTATGAAACATCTCACACGTTACCCATCGCTCCAACAGACCAGAACCGTGCCACCCCGTCAGCAGACGCAGTGATGACAACGTCCTCGTCAATAATAAGCCCACGCGTGAGATCTTTCCATGCTCGCTGTTTGGTGGCCAAGGGGGTTCCAAGCCTTCGCAAATCCCATACAATAAGATCAGATCCACTGCATGCCGCCACGTACCTGTCAGATATAGAAACAGCGGTAATAACCTCTGCCATAGCCCTCTCGTTTACCATACGAAGGCTACTTCGCACATCCCATACTCGAAGCATTTTGTCAAACCCTCCAGTTACAGCCATGGATCCAAAACTGGCCACGGCTGGAACCTTCCTCTGGTGGCGAGTTGTTGTTTCAAGTACACTGCAGCTCACGGGATCGATCAAGGAACAGGCACCATTGCCACCCCCAATAAGCGCATAACCCCGTTGAGTAGAACGCATGGCTTGTGTAGAGACCCCTACGGGAATCAGAGAACTTGTCTGACGATCCGAATGCAACACATAGACGCTAGCAGGTAGTCCTCCAGATAACACGGCGCTTTGAGGATCCTCCGGGTTGGCATACGTCACCGCAAATACATCACCATGAAGTGAGAGCACAGACGTCGCTGAGACCTCCTGACCGGCCAAGGAATAATTAAAAATGGAGCTGGTCCAATCCTCGCAGGCTGTAGCAAAATCATAGGGGGAGGCGAAGGCAACATCCCATACACATGCCTTATGCGGTCGAAACTGAATGAGAGGAAGGCCATCGACATCCAAAATCAAAACGTATCCTCCCGTTGTACCTACAGCGTAGCGTCCTTCCTTAACTTTGCAAAGAGAAATAAACTTTTCATTTGCGCTAAAAATATACTTCGCAAAACGAGTAATACCCTCACCAGTTGCGGTTTCTCGCTCCAACGCAGGATTGGCGCTCTGACTTAACTCCAGAAATGTGTTTTTTTCCAAAGGAACAATGCTTACCTCGTGAGAAATTTTAACGCGCCGTCGTCCTCCCTTGATATCTGGCATCGCATCCACAGCAGGTTGTGCCGCACCCCTCACCACCGAGTTTCCCACTCGACTTTCAAGCAAATCATTGTCAAGGTACACCTCTCCATCATCACAACGCAGAGTACTGCGCAATGTCACGCTCCCTTTAAGTAGGGCCTCAGGGAAGTGTGGATGAGGCTCACACATAAGAAAAACGCGCGCCTTACTGTGAATGGTACCCTCCAATTGAGCCTCCGTGATGCACTCCGCTAATTTCCTCAAGAGAGATATCGACTTTGTTGCCTGCTCAATGTAAATCCAAAGGCCCTTCTGCAGAGACTTTGTAAAGATTTCAGCGGTCTGAGCAAGACTCTGCCGCGTCTTTAGACGAGCAACAGCATTAATATACAGGACCGTGCACGATGCACGTTCGGCGCTGACCCCAATAGCATACCCGGGATTCACCCCTTCGCTCATAATGATGATGCACTTACCAGGTCCAGCCTTTTCCGCGGCGTCTAAAAGCACATCTGTACTCCTTGGAAATGTTGATACGTCCTCATGGTTGGCTACTCCAATAGAAACCTTCTGCTGGTGGAAGCTGCTATCTTCATCGTCGCCGGAGTTGAGATCAAATTCGTCCGGCTCCTCAGATGCTCCTGGAACAAATAGAAGCAACAATTCGCCTCCCATGTTACGCCTGTTCCTCTGCTCATCATCCGCTCTTCCCACGGGAGCACCATTGATGGAGCTTAAAATCATTCCCCTCATCACTCTCGCCAGCGGCGAAGAGTCCTTGTTTTTGATCGAGATCACCTCGTTATTGGCGCCAAAAAGCACATCCTCCAAGAACTGCCGCGGCGTGGCAGTGACACAAATAGACATTCGCGGAACTACAGGGCCCCCTCCTTTTTTTTTTTTCTTTTTTTCTCCTTTCCTTTCCTTCTACCTTTTCCCTTTCGTTCTTCGAACAGGAGGAACCTTTATAAACAATTCCTCCAAACGGAAATAAGAAGAGGCACGATAAAATAAAACGTCCAGCAAACACAAACACAAGAAACAAAAACAAACACGCATTGAAGTTTTCACGCACCAGCAGCATTCGCAACGGTCTCTTTTTTTCTTCTTCTTCTCAGGGTGGCCCCTTTTCCATTTCTTGTGTCCCTCGGCCCCGCATCCTCGTCGCCTTCGGTATTCCATTGCCCCCGCATCAACAGAAGCCGGATACCTCTACTCCTCTCCCCGCGCAGATTTGCTGCGCTGGTCCATTCATACACTGAAACGCAGTAAAACGCGTTCGTGTTTGGCAGCGCAACCAAACGGACGCTGGCTTCGCACAAATGCCGCAGTATAAACACTTTACTTTCAAAGACTGATGTGCTTGCCTTCTCCTAGAGCATTACCCGGGCCGCTTTGGCAGAAAAAGCATGAGTTGAACGCGGGCCACTTTTCGCAGCAGCGACAGGATGCGGCCCGGGAATGTGGTCACCGCATAATGCGCAACAATAGTCCTTCCTGCCTCAAATGCCGCACGTGGGGCACTCTCATTTTGCGTGGAATTTCGCCTCTTACGCCAAGATGGGGCAAAAACGCTGGTTCAGGGACCTACAGTAGTTTGAAGAAGATAAAGGGCGTCTCGCCTGATCCATTCCGACTTGTGTGGATGCGTGTGTGCGAGAGTATCGTTGATAGACGACTGGTCTCCCACGTCCACACGAATAAACAACAACAAAAATAAATAAATAAAACAGAGCAAAAGAAGCACACAAATAAGAGCAGAATAAAAAAAAAAAAAAAGTGAAGGGGACCAAATGTCAAGGTGCACCACCCACCGTATCGAGTCCCTCCAACACTTGACAACACAAAACAACATCACAGGCTCCGGGAGTCAGCTGATTAAAATTGGTGACCTTTCCCATCACCTAACAAAAGTGTTTTGAGTTCACGGCCTTCTTCTTCCTTTAAAAAACTACACACACACACACACACAAAAAAAAAAAAAAAAACGGAGAAAAAAAACGGTATCCAGGAAAGCATCTTAACAACGCCCAGCCACAGCTTCCCTTTCATTCATCACGCCACGCGGTCACGTTACCGTCAAGCAGGATTCCTCTCACTGAACCATTGCCAGCAACTCCGGGCTGGCCTGCAAAAGGCTTTTGAGATGAACCCCACTAGGACCTTGCAGAGCCTGATAAATACGTTCACGGAAGTACAAATCCGGCTGTTTCACAGACTCACACACGTCAATCGGGGCCCGAATAGCTCCCTGCAAAGGGCAAAAGACGTTTGTAAAACCAGAACCACCGGTGTAATGTTTCAAATCCCCAACGGACTGCGTTTTTGGAGTAAAGCTCGTCATATCATCGCTCTCAACAGCACCATGAAGCACCTTAAGACAGCTAACAACACAACTCGCCCAAGTATCTGCGTTACTTTGTAGCTCGGCGCATTCTCCAAGCAAGCTTGCCAATGCCACCACGCATACCTTGCGTTCTAAAGACCCTGTAATCTTTTGAACATTTGGCAGCCACACGCGCTGAAGTAGCATCCAAAAAAGTCCGTTTTGAATGAGGTTCACTTGCGCCACAACATCATCAGCACCATGGATAGTGACCAAAATCGATAAGAATATAATAAGAATACGCACGTATTTTGGAGTTCGAGAAGTTTGCAGTCGTTGAAACAAAGTCTGGTAGACAGAGCCCATAAATGGGGATATAATTTCTTTTGGGTATGCAATAATAATCGCGGTAAGAACATTCAGTCCCTCATGGTCGTAATTTTTGTACTGAAGTAAAGATCGAAATATGATCAGAACCTTTTCTGTAAGCCCTTTACTGTGCACATAGCGTGGGTAATGCTCTATAAAGGAGACCAAAAGTCGAACAACTGCAGGAATGTTGCCTTTTTGCTGATACATGTCGGGAATTAAAAGAGGCTCCAGTAATGCTTGATAGTGCGCCGGAGGCTCAAACGAAACTGAGCCACGTGCATCAAGAAGTTGTGCCATAATCTGAAGAGTGTACGGAACATATTCAAGCACATCATGGTGTAAAATAAAAATCATTGGTTCCCACAAAGCCCCCTCTATAGCGGTGCCATCCTCTGGGCGTATTTGAATGCACTTCGAAATCACTTCGAACATAAAATGGCTAAAAAGGGGATTTGAAGGATTCTTTGCATTTTCTCTAACAACGGGAACTAGAAATGTGATGATATCCCCCACAAAGGGTGCTACAGAAGGACTGAAGTTCTGACACACCCTCAGAAGGCATTGCATGGCGTAGGCGTTTGGTCGTTTATCTTCCTGAACCCAAATACAAAGATGCTGTAAAAGCGGTACAACCGTTTTACCCATATTCGCGTCTGTAAGGATGCTTTCCTGTTGACCAGAAAGTTGAAAAGTGAGAATGCGTTCCACAGCGTGTGCAGCGTACGTACGAACCACCTCATCCTGGCATCGTATCCATGTGGTTAAAAGGGCTACAATTTCTGGAATTAGTTGAGGTTCAATGTGCGCCCGAAATGTCGCCACAAAACGAATGCAACCAGCTTTAATGATAAAAGGACTTTGTTCAGACACGTCCTTTGAAAGCTCTGAAAGAATGCTTTGCTTTAGAAATGGTTCAAAAGACACCAGATTGCTTAATTTCTGGGTGGCGCCTCTCTGAAAGCTCGCGTACTGTCCTCCAAGTGAAAGGGCGGAGAACAAATAAATAGATAAGTCCTTTGCCTTCCATTCACCCGCTGCTGCCGCTGACATGAGACGCTGCAGCTGCGCAGAAAAAATTGGGCCAGAGATATCAGGGAATGTCACCATCAAAGAACGCACCAACTCCCCCGCCTCTCGTCTTCGAGTGTGAAAATCACTACCCTCCACATCTCGCTGAATATAACTAAATGGTTCCGTTTCATACAATTCAATGTCATCAGGCTGCAGGGCAAGATTCGGCAAAATAACATGAGCCACAAGGTTCTCAAGATGTTCTGTATTGTTAAAGATATCCCGCATAGACCCACGGCAGGCGGCTGACAAAAGGTTCATCCCTTGAATGACGATATCGTCCATAGTGCTTTCGCAGCTCAACGGGGAAGCGATGGTGTCCCAGACGACCCTGAGAAACTCGCCAGCATACTTCTCAAAGTCTTCAGAAAACTGCAGCAAAAAGTGTGTCACACATTCCATCACCACAGTCTTAAGCTCAATCAAACTTACCCCATCAACACCGGGATTCGTAAACTGAAGACAGCGCAGAAGAACACTCACAAACTTTTCCATGCACCAAATAAACTCATCGCCAAGATCGAGAGTGGTCAGGTCACGCAGGCACTCCACCGCTGAAGTCAACCCTTGCGACGCTGTTTTGCATCCCACACCTCCCTTGTCCATTTCGCCCAAAAGTAATTCCATCGATAAAAGCAATGGAGAAGTAAACGCTGTGTATATAATTCTTAAATCATTCACAAAATCCTCAGAGAGATCGGTTTGACTGCGATATCGCCCAAGTATACCATGGGCTGTGGATAATGCGGCACAGTGCATCGCCTGATCCTTTTCCACCATCAACACTTGCACAATGCAATCAAGAGCATTTGGCCAGGCCTTCGGAAAGTCAATCTCCGCTATCATTGTGATGGCCTCTGCAAGGTTCCGCTGAACATTGGGAGCAGCGCGAAACATAGCCCTTGTAATGGTGTCACGTACAATCGTCTTGTCCGTCTCTGTGATACAATGTTCTGCTGTTGCTGCGTTCCAGCACATCTTAACTGTATTTTTGAACACAATAGAACAGAATGAATCGGCGGGCCCAGGTGTAACGGCCATATTGAGCAGCAATAGGACAAATCCAGATTGCTCATCAACATGATTCTGAAACTCCCTGATTTCACGCTCTGCCTTCTCCCTGTCGGCACGATTCATGGAGTTAGCGTCATGTGCAAGCTGGTTCAATCGCTGTGCTAGTGCTGGATCGTTTGGATCTAGTAAGCTCATGGTCCCCTTTTTGTTCTTATTGATTACTTGTTGTTATTTTTCCCTGTGGATCCTTTTCCTTTTAACCCTTTATTCCCTTTCTTTCAACCCCCTTCTTATTCGTTTTATTCTCCCTTGTTTCTCCCTCTCTTCCTACACCTCTCCTCTTCTGAAATTTCCTTACTGGCTTAGCTGCTTCAAACGACACCGGTGAAGAAGAGTAAATTAAATATATATATATATATATATATAGATAGATAGATAGATAGATAGATAGATATAGGCAAACTGAAAAAAACAGAGAGACGGTATGAAAACCGGCAACCCCTTCGCTTGAAGATAAACCCACTCACTTGTTTCCACCCGTCCCGACGTTATCACCCCCTCATACCCATAATCCGTTTTCCCCCTTCTTTCCTTTTCAGACACCGTTGGTTTCCACTAAAAGGAGGATGTGTACACTCTCCTTGTATTCCTCACAATTCATGCAGCATTTCTCATAATTTTCCCTCTTTTACTGCCACCGCACAATACGTTGTTTCTCTCCAAACGTATTAAACTACACCCCACCCCCGTCATAGCCTGGGTTCAGCCTGAGCCGTGAGACATATGAGCCCTGGAAGGGCTTTGCCTTGAAGAAGCTCTAAAAAAGCCCCTCCCCCCGTGCTGGTGTGCGTGATGCTGCTCTTGTAACGCTTCGTGGCCGCTGCCGTCTCACCTCCACCCACGATGGAAACGAGTCGGTCATTCCGTTGGATTGCCTCCGCCAAGGAAACTGTCCCTGTGGCGAAATTTGAAAACTCAAACACGCCCACAGGTCCATTCCAGAGGAGCGTTCGGCACTCTGCCACTGCCTTGGAGCAAATCGCATTTGTCTTTGGGCCAAAATCCAAGGCCATGTACCCATCTGGTATATCTGCCCCGCTTGTCGTAAACGGCACTTCGTTGCTGAACGACTTGGCACAGTTATGATCCACGGGTAGAATGATTCGTACCTTCTTTGCTCTTGCGCGATCTATTAATTCCCGTGCGATAGCATGAAGATCCAAATCCCGTCCCTTTTCTCTCGCGGTGCGCTCCACCCTGGAGTTACCACATGAATGCCCTTGCGCCTCAAGAAAAGTGTAGGCCATGGCGCCACCGATAATAATGGTCTGGGCAAAATTCATGATGCTCGAAAGCACAGTGATCTTGTCTGAGACCTTTGCACCCCCCACAATGCAGAGTAATGGAAGAGTGGGGTTGTGCATCGCCATACTAATCGCCCTGATCTCACGGTCAATCAAGTAGCCTGTGACACCAGCCCCCAATATACGCGGAAGACCAGTCATGCTTGCTGTCATTCGATGCACTGTACCAAATGCATCGCAAACGTAAATGTCAATGAAGGATGCTAACTTTAATGCCATCCGATTGCGCTCCACAGTGTGCGTCGCATCCTCACCTGGGAAAAAACGAAGATTCTCCAAAAGCATGACCTCTCCATTTTTCATGGCGTTGACGATTCGGGGCGCCTCTTCCAGGCTTGGACAGAAAACCACCTTTTTGCCAAGAAGCTCCTCAAAACGGGGTAAGATCCTCTTTAGCGAGTGCCGATCGTCCGGCTTTTTCGGCCGCCCAAGATGCGAAGCAACAATGACACGACCACCATCACGGACAATTTTCATGATGGTCGGAATGGAGGCACGGATGCGGCTGTCATCCCGAATGTTTTGCGTAGCCTTGTCAAATGGCACGTTAAAGTCCACGCGCACAAAAACGCGGCGCGACTGAAAATCCAAGTCATCCACGGAAAGTTTTGGTGTGAGAGCGGCGCGAAGGTTCATGTGCACCCCAAAGTCAAACACACGTGGGAGGATGATCGGCAGTATAGTCCACCCCACCATGCTCGCATGCGGATCACGCGTTGACTGGATGACAACAGGGATGTCGACAGAGTTTTTCAACCGGGCAACAAGCGTCACGGTGCCATCGGAAACATCAAGGGGATACTTGGGAATGAGGAATGTGATGCTTTTACCCCGCACCTCTTCAACGCTCCAGCCAAAAAAGTCGCACGCAGAACGATTCATGTCAAGAATCACCATGTCGTTGTCACCGACAACAACGACGTCGCGAAGCGACTTGAATATCATGTCAATCTTCGAATGCTGCAACATGGCAAAGTCGACCCGGTCAATGGAATGAAGGCACAGCAAAAAGAGCTAAAAAAGGAAAATATCACTAATTCACTGATAAAGCGACGCCTACAGGAGAGAGAGTTCAAACCAGAAAAAAAATAATAAAAATAAAACACGCAAAAGAATCACCCGATGCCGCACCTGTTCATCCACGCCGGCGCTCCAGACCAGAAATCAAAAGATGAAGAAACTTTAACTCTGCTTGCCCCACTCCGATGCGAGGGGCCAGGACAAAAATCCCCAACCAACAATAACAAAATCCAAATAATGTGCACTGCAGAGTGCAATTGGCGCCCGCTCCAACCGTTGAACCGTCTCCCTACAACTGTCGCAGCCAATGCCTCCGCAGTAGCCAATCGCCATGTAAGCCCATTGACTTCCCTGAAGCATTGCACGGTAAAAGCAAAAATCATATGTTGTGAGCCAAGAAACTGTCGGAAAGATTCCTGCAAAATCATGGGAACGATGCACAAAGCTTAACCCCGTCAATTTCCCTACAAAACCGTCCCAGTCTGTCAACTCACGTTCGTGTGCGTTTTCCCCTAATCGTTTCTCAAACACTTATGCCGCACAAGGAAAACCCACTCAGTGTTTCCGTTGTATGCAACAAAGGTTGATGAAAATAAATGGAACCACGCGCAGTAGGAACCAGCGGCATCAAAGGCCCAAGAAAAAAAAAAAAATCACACCGGCTGCCACGCGCTGGCAGTGTTGCTGTGGAATAAATACAATCGTCTGTGTCCGCAACAGCTCGCACGCACACGCACACACACACACAAAAAGAACTTCAATCCCCAGTTCAATGCATCGCAGCCAAACTCCTCGCTGAATGCCTGTCCATCCACAAAAAAAAATTGAAAGAACACCAACGTCCCCCCGGCAGCTTGTGAAATAAAACACTTACGAAGGGAAGAATCCACACGCAGTCATATTGCCATAACAAAGCCAAACGAAAGACAGATCCTTTTTTTTTTTTACGTTTTTTTTTCCTTAGTTCCCCTGGAGTGGACTGCGGCGGTCGTCCAAGAAATTATTCCTCTTTCTTCAGGGTCCTGGTCAATGAATAAACAGATAACAAAAGCCTAACCTTCCATATCCCGAAAAAAGGCTCAAAATACAAAAAAAAAATAAAAATTAAAGAAACACAAAAATTACAGCGCGTTTCCACCCCATCTTCAGTAAACAACAGAGTAAGACAGTAACAAACGTAAATATCCGGTATAATACACGCCATTTTCTATAGGAGAACTATATATATATATATATACTACATATGAGAAATACGGTTTGACTCCGATGCCGAGCAAATTGCAAATGATAGGAAGCACAATAATGGTAATAATGATAATAATAATAAAAAAAGTCGGCAAATAAAAAATTCCTCAAAAAAAAAAAAAAAGGTCATTTAAACTTCTTTGCACTCCTTTGTCTCTTTTGTGTTTATCATTCAACGATCTCATAAGAATGGAAAAGCCAAAACTTTGTACATCAATAATAATGATAATGATAATAGTAATAATAATAGTAATAATAAAATTAATACACGTCCAAAAAAAAAAAAAAAAAAGAAAACTCCACGCCGCCTCGCGGAGTAAGAATAAGTCTTAAAGCAATCGCTTGACGCCCCTAACCCTACATACGAGCACGCTGCAGCATGATGATACAAAATTCATTATAGTGCACCTTGTCCCCGGTACAATACCGGGAAAGAACTCGATTTGCTTCATTTTCCGTTGGAATCAAACCATAATGCTCCATGGAAATATAAGCCTTGATGAACCTGTCACGGTCAATGTAATCTTGGCCTTCACCGGCGTACTTTTTGAACTCCGCCTGCAATTCCTTATCAAAGATAGCCCTGTCAGCGGTATCGTAGGCGAAGCCCAAGTAACTGAATGCATGCTGCTTCACTATTGCATCCGACGCAGTGGAATTCATAGCAAAATGACGCCGTTGCTGCGAATTTGGTTTCTTGCGGGTCGCAAGAAGAGCTGGAACTCCAATACCTGTTGGTGGGCTCTCATGTGTCACATTTCCCTTGAGCGCTGTCACGGAGCCCTCTTTCACCGCATAGTTCCCCTTTGAATCTGGCATAACCCTTGACTCAGAGTTCAAAACACCATCCTTGTAACACGGGCCGTCCTTTACGGAGGTTTCTACCATCAAAGAGCTGCTAGAGTTATGTCGATTTATTTTATCGCGCACGTACTGAAGAACACGATCCGTCTGTTTCAAATCAGATCGAAAAGCGTTTCTGATGGCCTCCAAAACCTCCGGCTCCTGCACGCACCCATTACTATTGGCGTCCTTGCCCAGCTCATGCAGAACATGCGAAACAGTTAGAAGCTCATCGCCCGATAAACTCTTGGAGAGTGGCGATGAGGATGAATCAATCGAAAGGATCCGTGGCCCCTCCGCAAAGCATTGGATAAAATTTTCCAAAGAAATCTTCTTGTCGTTTTCGTTGTCAGATGCAACCACAACGGCGCCAATTATCGTGGAAAGTGTTTCTTCTTCCAAAAAAGGAAACACATCCCGAAATATATCGCTGAGAACACTGACCAGGTTGCCGGGGGTCACGCAGGTGCTGTCCTGAAAACTGTCGTCAGGCACCACCGAAAGCCGCTCAAGCTCACCACTTTGAAGCATTTCCTGAAGTCTCTCACAGGCTGACTGCATCTTTTCCTGAGCCGCCGCAACAGGAAGCTGGGTCAGTGCGATATTTCGAATGAAACCACGGACAAATTCTGCCAAAGTCAACATCCCTCTTTTTTCGTGATCGGCGGTAACCATGATGAGATCACAAAGCTCACGTATCTGGGTTTTATCCCCTGAACTGTCAAAAATTGTCTCCCACAGAGCATCATATATGTCAGAGTACTCCAAGTAACCATCGCGGTTTTTATCCAACACGGCGAAGGCCTCTTTGAGAATCTCAATTTCAGCCGGAGTTAGTTTCTGTACCAATTTACGTGCCCCAGCATCCAAGAAGGCTGCTGGTAGCACACCTTGATCCTCCTGAAATGAGCGAATAAACTCTGAAAGGCACAAACGACCATCACGGTCTGTGTCTGCACTGGCCATTATAACCGCCACAATGTCGTTGAAGTTATTGTCATGCAAATCGGGGAAACGGTGCTTAAGGTTTTCCTTGAGAGCGACAATAAGCTCCTCCTTATCAATAAAACCATCGGCCTTTGTGTCAATGCGACGGAATGTCTCCTGGAGTGTTTCAATTTCCTCGTCAGTGAGGCGCACACGGATAGACGACACGCAGCTACTGATGACCTCCGCGGGAACCACCCCTGGTCCGTCTGCAAACGACAGCAAGAACTCGGTGAGGCTCAGTTTATCGTCCTTATCCTTGTCCGCCACATCAAAGAGAGGCACCAGGTATTCCTTGAGTGGGGAAAAGCGCTCATCGCCCACACAGCGGTGCACCATTGTGAGCAGCTCGTCCTTATTTACATGACCGTCATTGTCACGATCCATATAAATGAATGCGTCGCGCAGCATATCAACCTCCTCTGGGCTCAGGGAACAGAGAATGGACTCTGCATTTGGGCCGCTGACAACCGACGGCATCGATACTTGAAAGCACACACACAAGCAAACAAACAAACAAACAACTTCAAGAAACAACCAAAAAAACCGCAACAAAGAATGGAGATAAGTTAATTGGATCTCACACACACACACACCTCACAACACCAACAGAAGAAAACAATACAAAGAAAAAACACCAAATGAATAAAATCAATCAGCATTTAACGAGGAAAAAATAATAATCACAGCAGCAAATATACACAAAAAATGGGCACCCCAATAAATTCCAAAACACGCGCCACAGGTGCCCGCACTCCCCCATCCTCTCCATCTGCGGGATCAAAAATATAAACACATTAGGTTGCCGGACGCCGAAGGAGGAGCACGAAAAAAAAAGTAAAAAAAGGGGCAAAAAGCCCGCATACACTCACATGAAGCACGCACAGATGGAAAAAAAAAATTTCAAAGCATTATGGTACCATTCAACATGAAATAATACCTAACGAAGTCACTGCACGGCGATAAGCACAAGTTGTCTTCTCGTCGTTCCCACTAGCCGACGCATTCTTTCCGCTCGATTGCCACGCGCTAGATGGAACTTCGACTCCATCCGCACCGCACCAAGCTTTCCCAAACCCCCATCTTCCCTTTTGTAGCTTGTGCTGCTGGAGTCTTTCCTCATGTGCACGCTCACGCTGCAGTCCCTTTTCACGGATAAGATGATCCCTTTGTCTTTGGTACTCGATTGAGTTCAATACACGTTGATCACGAAGAAGCCCACGTTGCTGCAACTCAATCTCCCTATTAATTTTCTCCTCCTCGGCAGCCCTTTGGCGAGCCTCCTCACGTTCCTCATGGAGGTGTTGTCTTGCCCGTACCTCCCTCTCAATTAAGGAACGATTGACTTTGGCCCGCTCAGACGTCGAAAGTACTTGCTGCGCCGTGCGCAAACGATAAAACGTCAATGTCTTTTCACGCCGATACGAGGCCTCGTCTAGTTTCTGAAGACCAGCTTGAAGCTTTTCCCCACGGGCCTGCATTTGACTTTCTTGAAGCATTTTGGCATGTTGCACCCTTTTCTCCGTCGCGCGGTTTAACCTTTGAATGTCCGTGAGCCTTCTTTGCATGGCGGCCAACCTCACCCTGTTTGCCAATTCTTCCTTTTCGCGTTGCCTTTCCTCCATGCTGCGGCAGTTCTCCTCCAAAATCCGCTGGGCACGGAGACGAACCTCTTTTCGATGCTGCTCACGAGACGTAAACGACTGCGATCGCTGAGACAATGCCTCAGTTCGCTGAATCCACATATTATCCTTTGCAGTGCCAGATTTGGTCGGGCACATTTTTTGCTTCCCTGTCATCCACACTACTAGTCCATCTACACAGGAAAAAAAAAAAAAAAAAAAAAGAGGAAACAGAAATCATTAATAATTTATGTATTTATTTATTTATTGAAACGAATAAACGAAGAGAATTGCAAAAAAAAAAAAAAAAGAACTTGGCAAGAAAATTAACCTGATCGTCTAGGCGCCACGTAGTGGTCGTAGTAGTGCTTCATCCATTTCTGCGCCAGGTCAAGGTCCAGTTCGATGTGGTTCACCTCGTGGTCAATAATTTCAGGATCGAGGGGTGAGGGAAACAGGTGAATTAAGCAGCCGCCGTACCTGTGGCCCCCATCAAACAGGTGGTCCACAACATAATGCTCTTGCTTTGCTACCAATGCCAAGATGGCCAAACGCAATTTGATAAACTCAAACAGACAGGGTTCAATGTGTGACAAGGGCTCTTTCGGCTCACTCGTGACGTCCGTCATTCGACTACGTGCGATACCACGGTGTACGGCCACCTCACATAGCAAGTACTGTGTAGCCGTCCGCAGCTGTTTAGTACAAATGCAGTCAATACAGTCGCCGATGTCACAATACGGAGAATATACAATAACAGGATCGTACGAGTGCGTGCCGTACATGCTCATCCCCATCGCTTGGGCAACTCTTGAAATACCGAGCGTGTAACGTCGCTCAATACCCGAGTAGTCAACCCCCTCAGGCATACGCATTGGCCTACTGCGCAGCTTGTTACGCAGTAATTGAGCGACAAACAACTTCATTTTGCGCATAAGAAACACTTCCTCTGCCACCTCCAACTCGGAGCGACCCGTCTTGATTGCAACATACTTAACACGCTCATCGTCGTTAAGTTCACGAGGAAAGTAATAACTATAAATGACATCACTAATTGTCGGAACATAGCGTCCGTCAACCGTTATTTCCTTCTTGTATGGAAACCATCTCACCAAACCTTCGGTGCGGGGGCATGATGCCTCAATGTAGCCGTGAATGTGTCGTGGAATGCTCTGAGCAGTGAGTGTCTCACCATTTTGCTTCATCATTCGTTTCCAGTACCGCGAAAGAGGGTTGTGTTCAAAAGCGGGACTGTCCCACATGGACATGCAGAACCCCCGCGATGTACGCATAATTGGCCTCCTTCCTCCCCCCTTACACGCTCCCGCTCTCAATCCAAAATTATTGAAAACATTTCGTAAAATTAAAAAAAAATGAAATAAAATAAAATAAAGAAAAAAAAAACGACAATTATCAAAGGTGTACACCATGAAAAGATGTGGAAAGCCGCGCAAACAACAACGCCGCATAATACAGCAAGAACAACGCACAAAAAAAGGGAAAACTATTAAAAATCGAGATGAAACAACAACAGCAAAAAAAAAAAAAAACTGGCCAAAAGGGATCCTACTCCTCCGCCACGACGTTGGTCTTGGTCTGCACGTAGATGCCGTCCAGGAACTTGCGGATATCCTTCTTCTTCACCAGGCAGAGCTGATGCATCACGGCGGCCTCGCGCGAGACTTCCTCCAAGTCATTGCCTTCCAGCACGAGTTCGTCCTTCACAACGGTGGGGTCCGTGCGGTAGACCTTGACGCCATCGGCAACAACCTGCCGGCGAACACGCTTCTCGCCAAGGAAGTTGCGAATCTCCACAAGTTGGTTCTCCACGGAGACTGAGATGGGAAAGTGGGCGTAGGCGAAGCGAATCTTAAAACGGAAGCCCCTTGTCACACCCGTAATCATGTTGCGCACATGCGAGAGTGCCGTGTTGATGGTCGAGTTGTCAATTTTTGTGCCAAACCAACGAACGGCAGTGAAGGTTCGGAACTTCTTGTTCACACGGAAGTCCAGCTGCAGGTGACGGAGGTCCTTCGTGAGTGTGCCTCGCTTCCCCTTGACGGTGACGATGCGGTCCTTCACGGAGAGCTCGACGTCCTCCGGATATGTGATGCGGTCCTGTGCCCTGATTTTCATGGTTCCCCTTTGCCTTTTATATAGAAAATAAAACAAAAAATAAAAACACGAAAAGGTGCCAAAAATATATCTGTACATAAATGCGTACATATTTTAAGATAAACATATGGACCTAAATGCATGTATAATATATATTTATATATATATGTATGGATAAACATGCAGATGAGTAAATACATCTAAATGCGTCTTATACCGTTTTATCGCAACAACAAGAAAAAATAATAATAATACTAATATTAACAATAAGGGGAATCGTAATCGCTTAAAAAAAAACCAAGAAATACGCTGCAAGAGGAGCGTCACTGTCAACCCACTCAGAGGTTTTTAGGCACTAGGGAAGTTGCAGGTTACGCACCATTGTGAACGTGCCTCCCATAGACAACTCTGTGGCGTCTCGCTTAATCTGCAAGAGCTCCAAAATCCCCAACTGTCATAAGATTCATCTTCTTCGATAATCTAATAATTTCCATCATACAATCAATTACCAATTCATCGTACGCACTCACTAAAAAACTTGGTGTCTTGCGGTAGGACTGAAGAAGGGAAGACACCTCATCCAACCGCTTGTTCGATTCATGAAATGCATGTCCCAAAAAGTCCTGCTGCTCTTTCCCCGGCAACTCGGACTTTTTCTCAGACTTTTCCCCAAAGTCTCTGGCTTTTTCAGCAGATTTCCGCACCAGCCCTTGCTTGTAGGCACGTATCCTTGTGTGACGATCGCCAAACTGGCATGAGGAAATAGCCCTAAAGATGGAACGCAAAATGCCAGCCTTGTCCACGGAAGTAACTTCTTCAACATTGTCGCTGTCATCCGTCCTTTCATGGGATGCATCCTCAGCGCCCTCTAATCTTGCAAGCCTTGATTCCAAAACGTGTATGCGCTTTGTCGCAGTAAAAAGTTCTTGCGCCTGTTTCGTAACCGTGTCACGAAGAAGATCAATTTCACGCAGCATGTCCTCGTTTTCCTCCAGCACACCGCGTACAATGGAATCTCGCCGGAGACGGGGAATCAGCCCGGCCTCGTACCCCATGGAAGCATGGCCAGGATCAATAAAGGATCGCTCTAATGGCATCTACGTACACACACACAAAAAAAAAACATAAACAATAAAAAAAAACGGGCTTGAGTGGGTTTATCTCGCTCGCCCTTTTGCTTTTCTAGCAACTGCAAACCACAAATAAGGTCGACCCTGCAGTCCTCCATCTGTTCCCCACAGTTGTTTCATGAAGCACCGAAAAAGGAAAAGACAATGAGAATAAACAACAAAAAAAAAAAAAAAAAAAAACTACTATTTGCCTTCAGCCAATGATGACGCTGAGGTTTGAGGCGAATTCAGCAGATGAATACCGTTCCCGTTACCTTCAGATGGCTTCGTGTAGGCAAAATCCGAAGACCGATAGTTGTTTGAAGATGCATGCAGACCGACAACAGATGATGTGTTCTGCTGTGATAAATTCCGGCCTTGTTGTTGTTGTTGTTGTTGTTGTTGTTCTGGCGTCTGCCATTTTTCAAACACTGGCTGCAGTTGAGGCGGTAATTGCCCCCATGAATGCTGATGCTGCGAAATGTGAGATTCAACCGAAGATGGCTGTTGTTGTTGTTGTTCTTGTTGCTGTTGTTGCCACTGTTGTGACCAGCCGGATGGGTAGCCTTCCTGCCACCCCTGGCGTTCTTGTGACTGCGGTGGCAGATCCTGTGGCCAGGGTAGCTGCTGTTGCAGTTGTCCGTAGGTAACAGTGGTGTGGCCCCCTGCATTATAGAGCGGCTGAAAAGCAGGCATCGGATTTGGCGGAAGTGGCGCTGGAGGTAAAATAGGTGCGGTCGGATACACCGGCAGCCGCGCATTGACGAACTGTTGCTTAAAGCCATCCCCAGCAATGTTCATGAAACTCCCAAGGACCTTCGTAAGAGTCAGCACGCTAAGGTCAATGGCGCGTTGGCCCTCAACATAAAGCTGTGAGCAGACTGCCTTGTGGTTCTCAGTGGCTCGCCAAAACTCCACACGCCAGTTTTCCATCTTTTGCTCGTTTCGTGGAATGCGTGATGTGTCTTTGGGCGGACAAGAACGCAGGTCAAGTACCTTTTGGCGAAAAAAGTCGTACTCTAGCCGGTTCTTGCGACGGGCCTCCTCCGCATCCCTCAACTTACTGGTGTTCTTTATGAAGGCATTCAACACATCAAAACCCTCCTCCTTCAAACCTTTTTGATGCTCCTGTGCCGTGGCAACAAGTTTTGTGCCCATATCCAAGACATCTGTCGCAAGTTGGCTCGACTCCTGCGGCAAATCCGATATGCTTTGGTATTCCTCCCCGACATCCTTCAGGAGTCGGCCTAGCTCTTCAATGAGACCCGCGGCACGTATTAGTTTGCTGCAAATGACCTCGCCGGACTTCTGGTACTGAAGCACCTTTTTGCTCGTCACTTCCAACAACTCATCGTGGCCTGTCGCCTCCCTGTTTTTAACCTTTTCCCTGATGCTCTGGGTTGTGCGGCGCGCCAAGCCTTTAATGGCCTCCATTAGTATATTGTAAAAACAAAAACAAACAAGCACGATAAGAAAAAAAGAAAAAAGATGTATAATGACTAATAAGCCAACAGCAAATAATAGTTCCTTTTTACGCCCAATGCCTTCCTTTTTTTTTTCAGTTTTGTTTTTATTTGTTTGTTTTTCCTTTTGAGAAAACTATGCTTCGGTTTATGAAAGGACGCTACTTTGGACCTCTTAAAATAATGCAATAAAATAGTCCTGAAAAAAAAAAAAAAAAGGTTCCATGGTTGGTTATCCGCCCCGTACAAGTGCATTCCCCATGCATGGTCCCGTATGGACATAAGGGAGATGGGGACAACAAAAAAAAAAAAAAAAGAGAGAGAGAAAGAGAGTGACGCCCCACTCACTATACAGCGTCCACGTCGCTCCACTACCACAAAAAATAAAGAAAATCTGGTTGCGGGTAAGGCGTGCACTGAAGTGAGGGAAAAAACAGGGGGGTGGGGAGACATGTCCATTCGGCCACCCCCTTGTCGTCTTCTATGAGTCCTCAACAGTTAAACAAACCAGCGAACACACACTCTACCGCTGTCCATCTACACAAACACACACACACACACACACGACCACCAGCTGGTGCATCGGACATGAGATTACGCTTCACAACCCCACAAACCCACCGCCACCACCACCAGAAAATTTTCTTTAATACTATTGCCGCAACAGCTGTGCACCCTCATCCCCCTCTCCCACAAAAATCACCGCCATTACCTTCCGTCTCCACCTCCAACTCACCTCGTTCCCAATATGCTCCACATCCCACTCCCAGGTATAACCAAATTTTTTTTTTTTTTTTTTTTTTTTTGCAGAACAAAGAAGAAAGAGAAGAACGAGCAAAATAATGGGGAAAGCAAGAACGCAGAAGGAGGAAAGACAAAAAATAAAAATAAAAAAAATGGGGTGAGGAAAAATTCGGGTGAGAGAAAAAGTAATGTAGCTAATTAA